ATCTCTCTCAGCTGTATCATACTCAACATGAAGACCACATAGACCTTTAACTTCATTTTCATCTGCAATAAATACACAACAAATTCAATGTTGCTCATGTTCATGAATGCAAATACATCCTTGGTATAGAGATACAGGTCAGTTTATAGAGTAAAGGCTCAATGTTGAAACTAAACATTTTTCTAATGCTAAAGTGACACACATTTTTTTTTCAATCACATGAATGCAATGGTAAATAACAAAAGCAAAGATGCGTTACCAATTATCTCATCAAAGGTCTCTTGTAGATTTTCAATGTCTTTCAGTCTGAAGTAATGTTTGCCACCGGTCCCAGCTGTGAGGGGCTGCAGGTCATCATCAAAGATGTCAGCTCCAATGGCAAACATATAAATGTCTGTAGCAGGTTGAAATGTAACATGATAAATTAGGCTTCCTTTGCTGCATTAAAACACATTCTGATCCTCAAGCTGTTAGCTAGGCGTTACCGTTACTGTATAACAACAAAATGTTGCTGACAATGTAGCAACAACAGCAACAAGGCTTAACGATGACTATAATTACTGCCTCCGCCACTCACCTTTGCAGTCACGTGATTCTGATGATCTGCAGTAAGTGAACGGCAGAATGGATGAGATGGAAAGATGAAACCCATACTGTGCTAGTTATTGTTAACTCACTGTGTTGTCCCAGTCAACATGTCAGTCAACTGGTTAATTCATTCTTAACTTATTTGGAGGTGACCTTTGACTCAAAGGTCAAAGGTCACCTCCAATTAACTGCCCTGCGTTATGGTGTTGAATAATGGCCACATAAAGTGTTTTCTGGGACAATATGATCACAATGAAGTTGAACTTTGACCTTTTGGATAAAAAATGCCATCACTCCATCGCTGTGTTCCATTAAACGTCTGTGTGAAATTTTGTCATTATCACAGCATCAGTTCTTGAGTTATGACCAAGGTCAAGGTTGCAGTGACCTTTTAGTGTCAAAAGTCAAAAGTGTCACTAATTAATTGTGACAGTCATTCATTCTTGACCTTTGACCACCAAACTCTGATCAGTTCGTCTTTGAATTCAAGTGAATGCTTGTGCCAAATCTGAAGAAATTCCCTCAAGGTGTTCCTGAGATATTGTGTTTACTGGAATTGGACTGACAGACATATGGATGGGCAGGGGTGAGGGCAGATCGCCGGATAGGAGGCCTAAGAAAACTCACCAAGATATTGTTCTCTCCAGTGAGTCTCCCCTTCACTAGTGTGGCTCTTGTAAACCATGTTCTTTATTTTTGCCACAGTGGGTGCTGGTGAACCGCCCCTATTATAACCACCTATGATACAAGAAACCAGTGTGTTAGAATAATGAAGAAAACAAAACATTAAAAGCAAACAGCTTACACTTTTTTACTGCTTTCAGTTTAGCTCTTATATAAGCATAATAAAATTACAAAGCATACATTGCATACATTATCTACATACTTGATACAAGATGCATATTAACATACTATTAGTCAGTATTGATTTGATTGTAGATAAAAATCTAATGTTCAAGTTACAAAATCAAGTTTTTGTAGTGTTTTAGTTTAATTAGTGAGCTTTAAAAGTGCTGGTAGGTGTATTTCTGTATTTTTAGACCGAACCAGCTACCGAATCAGACTAGCTGTCTTTGGTCTTTATACTAAGCTAACAGAGATGACATAATTGAAACAGCACTGGTCAAATCTCAAATGGTGGAAACAATTAAGAAAACGTGATGGTTTCCATGTTTCCATTGCAATTTAACATATTTAGTTTATATTGGTACACCAACTAAGTCTATTAAACAAAACAAGTGGCTGAAATTACCATCTGTAAAAACGATTAGGGTGTGATAATGTTCCTTAAAAGCCTCCTCTCCCACCCGCAGCTTTATAAGAGTCATTCGCTCCATGAAGGTCTTAAAGACGAGGTTCAGATCTGTTGCAGCAGTCGCTTTGTCTTTGAGTCAAAAAACACACACACACACACACACACACACACAGTAAAACATAGATCAAGCTGTATATTAAAACAGTATTTCCAACAATATGATCTGTTTGACTCACCGCCTATTACAAACTCTTCCAATTTCTCAATGATAGTGCTCAGTGATATTTTGTCATCCCAAAAGTCAATAATGTTGACAACTTCAAATATCTCACAAGCGAAAAAGATGATTTCATAGTTTGGAATCACGGCAAAGGATGAAATCTGTGGAGACATAAAGTGTCACATTCTGCCTCTCTAATCCTCCCTCCAGCCACATTTCCTCTTACCCAGCCCCCTTCATTGCCATTCTCTGACTGCCATGTGCCCTCATCTTTTCCACTCTTTTCATTTGATAATATATATAAAAATTTTCTTTACAAAGTCTTTAGACAAACAAAGTGTGGTTGGCTGCAAAATAGCCTACGTCTAATTAGTACTTGAAAGTTTCTGACACATTTCTGACACATGTGTAATACTGTGGCTTCCTCTGCCATGCCCAATAAAACAATTAAACAATCAAGTGATTGATCAAATGTCCGAATAAGTCTCACTAGAGGCTATATTTTATAATTTTTTAACAACTCTACAAATTAATTGCCAGGATCCATCAACTGCAGTCTGTACTTTCATCCCATGTGCACCCTTCAAACTGACTCCAAAATCAGTCAAACCAATCTTACATCCAGTCCCAGCCATTGACTGTATGGTCCCAACACAATGTTGATGACTGCTTGCAAATTCAGCATATTATGAGTGAGGTAGTTCTGTGGTGTGTTCGCCCTCTACATTAGAAAAACACTATAAAACCTCTACTGTTGTATCATTCTGGATAAAACCTCCAATGTTATTACTCCCTTTTAATTAATAGGAAAGCTGTTTGTTTCTTACCTTTAAAATAAGTTTTTTCACAGCATCTTTTGCATCTGCGATGTCTTTCCTCTTCGATGCTTTTCTGAAAATATCCAACTGCGATATATATGTTAAGTGTCCCATTTCTTTGAATCCGGATTGTTCTTCCTTCCTGTGTGTCACTGAACAATCCAAACACAATACTGTTAATTGTGCATATTACATGCCATTAGATTCATTATTTGTTTTTCTATAGAGAAAAGAATGTATAATGGAAGAAAATAAGGCTTCTGAACCTGACACAGGGTAGAACAGTGCATACCCAATCACATTTTTGTTAGATTTAACACATTTTGCTCATTTGTTTTGAATTAACATGTTAAGGTTTATCTCCTCACTAAAATATATTGTAGTAACAAAAAGCTAATATTAGCATTGATATATGATATATATATAAAATAGTTCCAATATCATATTTAATAATTAATAACAGTTCAGGAAAACCACCTACCAATTTGGGACTCTACCCATTGTGAGAGCTGTCTTTAATTTGCGCTGCCAAATTCCTCTGCAACCTCCAATGAAGAATCCATAGGGGTGTTGTCTAAAGAAGCCAAAAGTAAAACAGACATTTTATAATAATTGTGACGCAACCCCCTCACAGGCTTCCCACCAGTTGACCAGGTGCTGCGTTTTTTTAAAGGCTGCAAGACATTTACTGAAAACAAGGAACTTGTTGAAAGGATAATACTGTATATGAAATACAGGAGAGAATCTATTAAGGCAGGGTTATACTCAAACCGAATGGCG